GTGGCTCAGCTGAATATCCAACGAGGAATAGAGAGAAGAAAGCCACAGGAGATCATGAGCATTAAGCAGGAGTTCAATGCCAAGCAGTTTAACTTTAACAAAATTAAACACGATGAAATCATATTTGAGATGATAAAGGACAAAAAAGGAGGTTCACCTTTGACTAACAATGCAGAGTGTCCTCAACCCCAGAAGATGGTTGTGTTGGTCAATGTTAGCCCTCTAGAGTTTGGACATTGTCTCTTTGTCCCAGATCCTGCTCACTGTCTCCCACAGATCCTGACAAAGTTTGCAATCCATGTCGGCATTGAAGCTGTGCTTCTGAGCTCTGATCCCGGTTTCCGTGTGGGGTTCAACAGTTTGGGAGCATTTGCATCTGTCAATCATTTACACCTCCATGGATATTACCTAGACCATCCCCTCAAGATAGAGTCTAAGCCAGTTAAACCTTTATGTCCTGAAAAGGGATTTTATCGAATTTTGGACTTCCCGGCAGGCTTTTTGTTTTATGCAGAATCAGAGGAGGTGGAGAAAGTGGCCCAAACTATCTGTGAAGTCACAGATTTTCTTGTGAATAATAATATTGCTCATAACCTCTTTTTGACTAGAGGAAGCCCGCCGTGTGTTCAAACGCAAGGTGAAAAGGATTTCTGTTCAAGAAAAGGTGTTCGCATTGCTGTGTGGCCCAGAATATCCTGCTTTGGTGCCAAAGAGGAGTCTGCCTTTAATGTTGCTCTATGTGAACTGGCTGGACATTTACCCTTTAAGAGCAAAAAGGACTTTGAGCGCATGACAGAGAAAGATGTCGTTGATGTAATCCAGAGCTATCTTTTGCCTGAAGATGAGTTTCACCAGCTGGAACAGCAGCTTACTGAACATTTATTGTGTTCATAATGTGCGGTCATTTTCATCAACTTACAGCTGGGCTGGAAGGGTCTTAGACTTTTGATGGAATAAATGGATGAATCTGGCCTCTGGATTTTGAATTAAATTGTAAAAACTGCACTACCGTACTGAATGTGTGTCAGAATCTTCCCTGTACAATGAAAGAGATTACACATGTTGAGATTTATATGATATTTACAAGATAAAATGTGCTTTAATTGGTTAATGAAT